ACTCACGATTTTCATCACAGATTACTGTAGCTAAGGTCAAGACACTAAGCTTTAACACAGGAACTTATCTAAACTGATATTCCCCGGCAACTGCCTGCTTGTGTACTCCACACTACATTTTCAGGTGGATTGCCACATATTCATTAAGGCATATCTTAAACAATCTTGCATTATAAAAGAGGCAAAAAAAAATCTACTACTGTTGCATTATGAAAAACATTACAATTAAGCACTGTAACAGGCCAGACTACTTAGGCTGTGAAATCCCTCTTCACTGGAGATTTTAGAGATGTTAGACAGACATTGTTATCTGAAATTACACAACCAGACCATGGAGGAAACAGAGAAATCACTTCCAGCCTTATGCTTCTGTGAACTTATGCTTCAGGAGAAAAAAAAAAAAAAAAAGAAACACCAAAACCCACAAACAAGTAAAAAACAACCAACCAAAAAAACCTCAAAACAAAACACCATAAAAGCCACACTGCAGAAAATCAGTCTGTATACTGAAATGTGAAATGCTGGTCTTTTGGGGAACAGTTCCTGTATGTCACTTATTCCTAAATTCAAAATCAAGCAGTGAGTAGCTCCACTAAGTCTACAATCTCAATAAAATTAATAGTTACTGCCTGTAAGCTATGCACAGATTCCAGTCCTACCCAACCTAAATCATCACCCAGCCTGTTTTATTCAGGGCATAAACATTTTGTTCCAAATGAAACTTTACACTCAGCTCACAGCCCTGGCTATAAAGTTATATTCTGCCCAGAAAATGACAGCACATATTCATAGCACAGCCAGACTGAGTCCAAACACAATGCAGCTCCAGCACCAGGCACTCTGCTGTTAGGAATAAAACATTCTGAAGAACCCAATATAACTTTCTTGTCTCTCTAGTGAGAAAGGCAGAGGAAGATGGTATCTGCCAAGGAAACAATACCATTGACTACACAAATTACTGATAAATACTTAATGAAATATAAAAAGAAAGGGGAACAACAATGTAGAAGTCAACAAAATTTTTTTACAGAAATTTTTAGTAAGTGCTAGGGATATGCCATCAAAATACCCACTTCAACAAACTTCACTGTAAGTATAAGTAATTAAGTAATACAGTTATGCTTCCCTCTTTGTCCAGGGTGAAGTATGCCTTCATCAGAGAAGGACAGGCAGATAATTGAGCCAACTTTTTATACATGGTTCCTCCGAGGGTAAAACCATTGAGAGGGGAGCAAGGTATCTGTGTAATGTCTCAGGGCTAGAAATTTGAGTTCCTCAGCCACCAGATGAGCACAGCTTCCATTTCCTCACAGGCTGTGCCTGCAGTACCCAAGTGCTGAGATTTGCCTGGAAACTGGAAGCACCTTAGCTGAAATATCGAGAAGTTCACACAGGCTGATATACCTATTGGAAAAAAGGCTCTTCCCAGCAGGGTGAATGGCTCTGTGCAGAACCCTGGGCTTTCACAGCTACACAGTTTCTTTCACAAGCAGACAGCCCACAAAGCCCCAGCCTGGCGTCCAGGCCGTGCTTGTGCTGTGATTATCCATCAGGCATACCAGTGTGCTCCTCAAGCCAACAGCCTGGTTTCCATCTCCCAGGCTAAGACTTCTGAGACGGCTCCCAACACAAACAGAAAATAAACTGACTTCTTAGGTTACATTTGAAAAAGCCATAAGCAATGGGTGTAGCTCTAGTAAATAGGTAGAAACTGGGGTGCAGGTAAGTTTAAAACCCCCCACTGTTTAATAGGTAAGATACACAGAATCAGTTACTAATTCAAAACACTGAATTAGAAGAACTGAGTTGAATATCCAAGGGATATTTTTCCTTGTGTCACTCAATTCACATCTCAAAGAAATTATGATGAGATATTAAAGTAACTTTAACCAGCAAGACAGAATTAGATAAAGATGCTTCAGTTAATTTTAATTAATAATTAAAATTATCATTAAAAAATATAATTCAATCTCTATCCAATTCCTTTCATGCTTTAATTTTTGTAGCCCTGTTGAACCATATAGATACAGATTTAGGAAAATACTCCCAAAGATAAAAGGATATTCTGTTTTATTTAATTTTTACCTTTTATTTTCTGCAACTAATTTACACATTAGACAGTGGAATGCTGTCTACTCTAGACATGTATGCAGAAGGAAAAGTGGTTCAGTATTGCATATCACAGAACGTAAGCAAGTGAAATGAGGAAAGATTGTATCTTTAATATCTGGTCTATACGGACACCCAAACAAAATTCTTTCGCAATACTGAGGAACAGCTCAAAGGTTCACCAACCACCTCTTCAGGCACAAACCCTCATGATTAACACACCAGAATTCTCCACAATATAAAGACATATTTATACATGCCTCATAGTTCTAAACAAAATATTTAGAAATAGGTATTTCAAATAACTTGAGAAATAAAGAACAAAGTATTGCAAACCATTTTTGTCCAATACTGCTTTTTGAACCTCTACCCAAGACTGTTGTCAGTAAAATGTCCTCACTGAGGCATTCTCTTTACAAGGCCTAATACGTTATTTAAATGCAGACTTACCAGATAATTGTTAAGATCTGTATTTTATAGAGGAAACCAGTAATATTCTCCTCCTAATAATCAGCAAATACTTCTGAATCTAGAGCTAGTTCTTTATTTTATCTTCAATTACAAAGGGGAAGGAAGAACCACATTCTTTCTTCATTCATATTCCAGATTATGAGTGGAACTATCATCTACAGCCCCACAGTAAGACTTTTTTTTGTCATCTTCTTTATTCATCCTTTTATCTTCCCTTTCCTGTCCATACTAAGCCCTGGTCTTCGAGGAGCTCTCCCCAGAGAGGGCCAGATATTCTCCTCCAGACAGAAACTTAAAAACCTGTTATCAAAATACTTTCCCTCTGATGTCATGATTTTGCATTTATAGACACTCAATTCTATATGCTGCTGACATATAGTATCTGTTCACTAATCAGAAGTAAGAATTAATAGAGGTTTCAAAGCTACAAAGGCAGCATTTTCACTCTGATGGAGCATACAGTTCATACTTTGGGGGAGGGGAAGAGAAGAAAGTGTTGGCTCTTTCATGAACATAAAAGGGCAGAATTACACATTAGTGTAGCTTCCCCATGTATAGACATTTTTTTCTGAAATGCAGTGCAAACTTAAAATCAACCATTAGCTTCTTTAACTAAAGCTCAAATCATCCACATAATAACTTTTACAGAGAATTATAACTAAGTTTTTTTAAAATGTGAATTGTTAAAATTTCACAATTAAGAAATAAATCACAATGGGAAAATAGGCTCCTATTCACAAAACAACCAACCAAGCTGGCATCATTAATACCCTTTTAACAAGGCAGAACTGAAATACTGGGAATGCTGTTGCTAGGTCAGAATTGAAGTGAATTGGGTAAACCGTGCAAATGGGCTTACAGCACCTGCCCAGCCCTTGGCCTGGTACAAACCTGTACTTGCTCCTTCAGTAAAACCCTTCTTCATCAGGGCACAGAAATTACCAACTCACTGAAGTTTTCACAAAGGCAAAAAAAAGCCTACACTTTTTTAAAAAATACATTTGAAAGAAAACTTGAGATGCTGAGCATTCTTGATTCATATGTGCTTTAATACCAAGATTTTTGACCTTCAGAAGTCCCTTCTCCCAGGAAGAAAAAAAAAAAGGGAAAAAACCAAAAACACTCCTCAGAAACGACCACAGAGAGACGCTGCAGACACTCATCTAAAATAATGGCAGTCAAAGGTCAGGATGATATATAGGGAACATCAAGCTTTTCATTTATGAATGTTCCTGAAAGAGACCTCTTAGTATGTAGAGGTAAGAAAATCATGGACTATCCAGTCAGAGCGACATAGAAACTGCCTAAACATGTGTAATTTACAGAATTTTCCTAAAAATGACACCAAGTATCTTCAACTTTGACCAATTAATTTTAAGACCTCCCTGAAATATAACATGGAAACTACCATCAGCTTGTTGGGTCATCTTAACAAGATTTAGCAATTTTCCTATGAAGATTCGCTTACGAACTATACCCAGCAGATTACAAAATAACACGAAGAAAAGCAAGCACTGCAGATTGGATACCAATCAGTAAAACGACAGAAAAGTCGTAGGAGTCTTCCAAAAGTGCTGGAAAATGCATACTGCAAGAACAATTGGTATTCCTGCCTAACAAAGCTGGGTTGCACTCGAAGGCTCCAACATGTTAATCTGTCACCGTGACAGAAAAGCTAAGGATGCCAGACCAACACACATTTCTATTCCAACACCCTGCATATCTAACAATGAGCTTCCGAACACAATTAAAAATAGGACTAGTGTCCAAATATATGAGCACGGATGCTCTTAGCATTTCTGCTTCCAACTTCTTGTTATAAAAAAAAGAGTACCCTTCAAGACCTCTCAGCATTCCTTAACAGCTTTTTTTTTGCATTCTATAATCACAAGTGACAAAAGAAACAGCTCCATATTTGCTTCAGATCTCTTCAAGGAAAAAAAAAAACACATTACAGTAATTCTGTTACAAAACTACTGCACATGTGTAAGGCCCCGAGAAACACCGATGCTGATAAAATTAAAAATGGCTGTGCCCGAAGATCCCACAGCAAAACAGGCACTGCTCTACTGACGATTAAAATATATATTAAAAATTCCTGCATTACCTTACAAAGGGCGAGGTATGCAAAACAAAAAGATTATATATATTTCCAAAACTGAAGTAAGTTATTAGACAAGAGATGCAGATCTAAGCAAAGCATTCTTACTGAGTGCAGCTCGAGCTCATTTACACAATAAAGCAGATTTTATTCCCCGAGACATTTAACGCATCAGGATTTCAAAACTTTTATCAGGCTTCGCCGCTGAAATAGATACATACCACTTTGTAAGGAGGCACAGATGTGCCCAAATAGCACCGGACCCCACCCCCTTCCCGCTGCCAAAATGGCCAGTTCGTTACACCCAGTGGCTACTCACCAGCCGCAGTGCCGAGCAGCAGGGTGGCACTGGAGAGCAGGAGCACCAGCACAAGGTGCTGCAGTGAGGCAGGCATACCTGGGCAAGCCACGGTTCGAGCCGGCAGGAGGAAAAAAAAAAATAAAATAAAAAAATGGGGGTTAAAAAAAAACCCCAAACCCCGAAGAGAGGAAATTCCTCCTGCTTTCGCACAGCCTTCCTTAACTCTCTCGGTTTACAATCCCGTCTGGAAGGGCAAATGGCAGATGAGAGGAGCCGTCTTCGCTCTTACTCCATTACAGCCGCCTGCCTTCATGCCTCGGGAGCCGGCAGCGCTCAGCGGACACGGGGGAAGCGCCTGGCTCTGCCTCCCAGCCCCGAGGCATCTCCCCCGCGGGGAGGACGGCGGCACGCTCCCGACCCCGCTGGGAACCGGGCTATTTCCCACGCAGCTTCACGACATCGAAGAAAGCGCCCGGTTGGGAAGGGAACATATCCAGACGCGCCTACAGTGGTGTCACAGTCAGCGCGGGCCCTGCGGGCTGGCCGGGCCACCGAGAGCGAGCTAGGGGCTCACGGCGGCGTCGCGTCCCATCCCGGCAAAGGTCTCTGTCCTCTGGCCGCCCCTCCTCGCTGCCTCACGCTCCGGGGAAGGCGGCGGCGAGGCACCCTGCTCTCACGGCGAGGGCTGCGGCTGCATCCCGGCCCATCTGCCTCCCGCGCCGGGCGGGCTCCTCCGCGCTGCCCCGGCCCCCGCCGCAGCACCGACGCCACCCCCGGCCACCCCGACAAAGGTGGGGCCCGGGGCAGCGAGGCCCCTCCTCGGCGGCTCCTGCTGCGAGCGCACACGGCCGCTCTCCGCGGGCGAAGGCCCTTCCCCTCCTCCGCCTCCCGCCCCGAGTTTCCACAGCGCCGGGCAGCCTAGCCCGGCCTCCTCACGCCGGTCTCCGCTCAGCCCCTCCGCTCTGCCAGCGCCTTCCTCCCCCCGCGCCGGGCTCGCCGGCGAGGGGCCGCTCCGCCTCCTTCCCCTGCCCGCCGCCGGCTGCGGGCGGGAGCCGAGCGAGGGCCGGAGCTCCGCCGCCCGCGCCCCCTCTCGCCCGCCCGCCCCAACAGCACGGGCGGCTCCAGACACAAAGGGGAGTCGCTGCCGCCGCCGGCCCGGGCGCCCGTCCCGCCGCGCCGCCCCCGGCCCCGCCCCGCACCATAGAGGTGGCTCCAGGTAGGCAGAGCGGGGCCGTCGGGCGGAGCTCCGCCGGCTGAGGGAGGGGGCGCGGGGCCAAGGACGCCGCCACGGGCAGGGGAGCAGGGGGCGCGGAGCGGGTTCGTGAGGAGGGGAAGGCCCCGCTAGACCTTCCCGGGAAGGCCGCGGGAAGGAGGCGAACGCCCCCCCACCATGCAGCCTTTCTGTGAGGGAGGCTGTCAGCAGGGAGGCGTGAGCTCCGGATTCACAAAAAACGCCTGTAACAACAAGAAAAAAAAATGTTTAGCAGTCTCTGAGATTGCGTCATGTTTGAACTCCGTGGCCTGCCTGTCAGGCACCCCTCAGCTTCTGCCTCGTCCTTGGGTTCAAGCCCCCGTTATCTCTGTCCCTGTGAGCTTCCCTAGGAGCACTGGCCGTACCACCTCCTGCTCTCCCTCGGTGAGCCCAGGCAAGTCACAGAGACACAGATCAGAGGTTGGAAAAGACCTCTGAGATAATCGAATCCAACCTGTGACCGATCACTATCCTGTCAGCTAGACCATGGCGCTAAGTGCCATGTCCAGTCTTCCCTTAAACACCTCCAGGGACAGTGACTCCATCACCTCCCTGGGCAATCAATTCCAATAGATAATCACCCTTTCTGTGAAGAATTTCTTCGTAATGTCCAATGCGAAGTCCATTCAGCTCATATGGCTTCAGCCACCTGAATCTCTCAAGCAAAACCATTATCTACCTCTTAAATTAAAGAAATTTTATGATTTCAAAACAAAGATAAAGTGAGCCCACTCAGCTATTTGTATGCTTTAACCTTTGCTATATTGCACAGGACCAAAGAGATAAATTGAGGGCAACAGCTGATGGAGAATTGTGACTGGAATGTAGTCTCTGATGTTCTGGCCTAGAACTTGTTTCAAGCAAGTTTTACTGGCTATAGCATAGAAGAAAGGATTCTTACACACTGGAAGCACCTTCATATCTGGGCATCACCAAAGGTTTTATTATGGGAAATGCTTCCCTGTGCCAAATATATATATATATATATATATATACACACCTATATTCCTATACTAGTTTCAAGAGTGGAATACAAGTTCAGAAATCAAATTCCACACTTCAAGATATTGAATGCTACTAAATAAAATGGTGTAGTTGCAAGTCAGAGTTACAATTTTAGTGATATTCTGTATAATTCCATTCCTCTTGACAAGCCATAACAGATGAAATAGATGTAATCTGATACTTTTATCATCAAGAGAATTATTAAATAAATTGTTCTAGGATTTTCATCATTGTGATGCTCTGGCCAAGGTCATAGTTTGACATTCCTAGGGTCAAGGTGAATTTACACTGACAGTTATAAAATGCTTTTAAAGTTTCCTACAATATTTTTACTTCCAGTCTGTGCAGATCTAATATGGATATTGGTGAGACAATAAAATATAGAATCACAGATTGTAATTTGTATTGCCACTTTCCAGAATTGCAATGTTAACCACACATGTTAACCACAGTATCCTTCCTGTTATTAGTGGAATGTGAATGTCAAGAAATAACCTTTAGAAGCAACACCAACACCAGCTCTCCTCCCTCAACAGCTAGAACAGTTTTACCTCCAAGAGAGGAAAAAAACCCCAACACTGAATTTTTTTTTTCTGCAGCAACAAAATCCAGTGTTCTTCTCTGGTTCCACAGACACCAAACTATGCAACACTTCTTCTGCCCAGCTGTACCTACCGATAGAATAAGCGAGATCTACTTTGTTCAGAGAAAACAAGAACCTTGCCATGTGAGTTGCACAGCACTTTCACTGTTTAGATGGTAAAAGAAAATTACCGTAATTGTTTATGACATGTATGAAAACCTGCTCACCCTGAAGTAAATGACAGAGGCCTCACTTGTTTCAATGGTTCTAGTTTTGGCTCATTAATTAACACTAGGAGTTCTTCTCCACAAGAAATTGTGCAAAAACCTATATTCTGCCTTAAAATACTTTTCTTTTTTTCTTTCCACAAAATGTTCTCTGTTTTTCTAAAATGAAGGGAAAAGACATGCCCTTTTTAATACAATTATTTCCTTTTAGTTTCACAAAAAACCAAAACCCGATCAAGAAAACACACTACTGAAGGGCATGGGGCTTTCCATCTGCTTTGCCTGAGTTTATATCAGGCCCTTGGACTAATCTCACACACTTGCAATCACAGCAGTTTGCAAGAATTTCCCTTCCTTCCCTAAGCTATTTTGAGCCCTGTAGATGTTCTCTGCAAGGGCCAGGTCCCTCCTGGCGCGGTGTGGCTGTGAAGGCTGCACCCGGCGCTGGTCATACACCGATGCCAGGTGGCAGAGCAGGAGCTGCTGCACCCCGCTGTCCCTGGAGCTGGCAGGGCCGAGGAGGGGCTGACCCCCACTTCAGCACACAGATGTAGAAAGCAATCGCTGCTGTCTAAGCACAGAAGCAGCTTCCTTTTCCCACGGTGCTGGGAGGAAACCAGAGAACCAAACTGTCACAGTCAGGCTCGCTCATTGTTATGTGCTTGGACAAGAACATATTTATAATTCTTCCTGTGATATTGTTTTATCTGTAAGCTAGGATTTCGCTCTCCTAATATTCAGCAACACCAAGTAAGACGTAAAGGAAAGTAGTCAGGATAGTGAAAACTTGCCGAGCTGCAGGACAGTAAATCTGGGGTGCAGGTTCAGGTAAAGATAGGGGTGGAGACAAGAGAAAACACATCAAATTTACCAAGATTTAAAAGCCAATATTCTGACTGAAGCACTGTATTTCCACCAGGAGGAAATCTGACCATCAGAAATGAAACAACACTATTGAACACCATTGAACTTATTGGAGATAAGACTGTTAGAAAATGTGAGGAGGAAAGACCTTAGGAAGCAGATGGTCTTTTGCAGCTGTGTTCACTGTACTCCCAGCCAGGCAGAGGCAAGGCTGCCTCAGCAGCACGGTCATGGGGCAAGGATGAGGAGGACAGTGGCAGAGGAGCCAGGGTCTGGTGGCTGGGAGCTCCCCAAGATGCAGGTCAGATAGAGAAGGGGACGTGTATCTTGCCCTTGGGTGAGGGAGCTCTGAACAGCACAGGCACAAACAGCACAGCACGTGGGGGTTGCCCTTTGCTTCAGTGGGATACAGAGAGGAGAAATGCAGCTGATAGGAGGCTCAGGAGTGTCCCACTCTGGCTCAGACTGATGCAGACACAAACATGTTGATATCACTGGTAAATTCAACACTGCACGTAAGAGAAATTAAACATGTCCTTGTTAGCAGCATCTCCTTTAAACAACACATATCTTTAATTACCTGGAATAAAGGAAACTATTTTCATGCTACCAAGAGAGTATTCCAATCAGTGGAAAATAAGATGAACAAAGAATGAAGAAAACTGAAATGAACTATGAAACAATAGCACGGTTTTAATTTATTTTCAGAAAATCCAATGCTCAGGCACTTTAAAAAGATTTCTCAGGGTAGGTTCACTGTTATCCAAGAGTTTTTCAGCGCTGATGCAATATAACTGTTATCATTGTTAGGACTCAGGGGACTGTTCTTTTTGACAGGGCCTTTCATGAAGTCAACAAATCAGTTTAAAACAAGCCATAAATTGTATTTGGCTGCCTGTCAGCTCGGCTGGGATGTTCTCCCAGTGCTGCCATAAGTGTTGGGGAAAGAATATAACACATCCAGATATTTAGCTTTTAGGGGATATTTTGTTCCTAATTTAAAAATAAAGCATCCCCCTAGCATTGACTCTGATGCATAAACATATGTTAGAACAGCCATCATGATTTTTACACACTTCCCTTCAAATAAATACACCTATTCTGGATCCTAAGTGTTAGCTTAATAAATAATGGGCTCAGTACAGATCTCCCCAACAAATGCCTGCCACTTTTTGGGAGAACTAGG